AATAAGTTAGGACAATTTATCTATCTGGTCCTTAAGTTTTGCACACCAGTGTAGTAAGTATTAAGTATAATAAGTAGTAAGACCACATTGTTTCGCGATTCCGATAAGTTATAGGCAGTTTTGAAACTAGAAAAAAATGCCAAATAAACCACGAAAAACGAGTAGCTTCCGAGTGAGAGTGTGGCCCACCGGCGCACTTTCGTCAAAGTGTAGCCGAAAAGCTCACCAATTTTATTTTTCTTCCTCTACAGGGTGGCTACTAAATATTGGCGCATGGTTTATTGACCATATTTCCAAAAAGAGAACTATTACATCTTCAGAAGGTTTATTTTATATACAGTAAACATAACAATTCATTACTAAGAAGATGCTCGGAAAGAAGTCCTCCGGCGGCGATACAGGCTTCAAGTCTCTTCTCAACTGACATCACCGTGGGCCGCAAGCAGTTTTCGTCGAGTTACTTCAACGCTTCCTCCTAGGAAGCCTTCAGGAAGTCCAAACTTCGATGTTGCCTAGAAGGCATCTTCTGCTGCAGGAAGCCCCACACCGCAAAATCCATTGGGTTCAATCGGGTGAGTTAGATGGCCAAACATTTGTGACCAGTAACCTGGAAAATGGCGGTCACAGAACACCAGCGTAGATTTTGCGGCATGGGGAGGCGCCTAGTCTTGCTGAAGAAGGCACTGACATTTGCTGGAGGTCGAAACAGTCCATGGAAGGAGCACATCACGTAAAATTGTTTCCTGGTAGATCTGGGCGTTAATTTTGACGGATTTGTCCACAAAGACAAGCGGTGTCTCGGTGTCGGAAGTAATTCCTGCCTAAATCATGACAGATTTTGGAAATCGGCTCCTTGTGTGCGCACGACGTCGAGCAGAATGTCTGCTAGCCGGATCCAACAATTGCCTGTCCTTTTGAGAATTGTGCGCCAATTCCAGTGTGATGATCTTCTCGCGTCACGTTGACGTCACTTACTTGCGGCCCACGGTGATGTCAGTTGAGAAGAGACTTGAAGCCTGTATCACTGCCGAGGGAGGCCATTTCGAGCACCTTCTTCAGTGATGCATGGATATGTTTTACTGTATATAAAAATAAACTTCTGAAGATGTAATAGTTTCTCTTTGCAAAAATATGGTCAATAAACCATGCGCCAATATTTAGTAGCCACCCTGTATGGTACTCGAACGCTGTGGCACATGTGAAACCACTGTGCAAAGTGCCTTAGAAACAGATAAATTGCTCCGTGAATTCGCTACTCCCTACAACCCTACGCCTACTGATCGCATCACAATATTGAATCGCAACACTGAAGGAACAGGGTTCATTTTCTCACCTTCTTTTGACTGACATCCAACCATATGGTCAGCATTCGTGGCATTGCGTGAAACAAATGAGTACGTCCGAAGCGTAGTGCATTCGTGTAGGACTTCAGAATATTGGCTACCAGATCACTTCGGACCTTGAAAAAACACAATTCAGAGGCAATTCAACAGCACAAGATATCCAGTTTATATTATTTATCATAACCCGATGAAAAATTCTTAAGCTCTCTTTGTATCAATCGAACTAATCACAAAATAGGTTGTTTGAAATGTTCAAATGTTTTGTGCAATCGAAAAACAAAGTCTACATATCCTACTCCAGTATCAAGTTAACGTGCGCCCTTGACGGAGGCCATAAACCAGCTCCTGATCACTAGATACCAGTCCTACTCATAGCGCTTGTCACCTCACCTTATGGATACCTTTGGATCCATTCCCCTGTCATGCATACGTAAGCAAACCAGCCCTTTTGGCGTTTCTGCTGGGACCGTATGCTGAATGTTGGGGAGGGGATGGGGTCCCCGACGGTGGACGGACACTTCAACTCGGTCCTTAGAACCGCCACAATTTGGTGCTTACCTCAGAACTAAGCCTTAAAGAGAGAGGACGGGTCCGTCCCCTCTCCAAGGCTTAGTCCTGGGGTGAGCAAACCAGCCCTTCTGGCGGAGCTGCTGGACCAGCTGCACCACTTGCGTCAGTACTCTCCTACCGTACCGACCGAGTTGAAGTAGTCCGTCGACCTCGGGGACCCCATCCCCTCCCCAACATTCAGCATACGGTCCCAGCAGAAACGCCAAAAGGGCTGGTTTGCTTACCTCTCATGCATACTTGCGATTTTCACTATTTTCACGTACTTCGTCAGATTGTCAGGTAATGAACGGAAGAGAAAGAATCAATGTACTATTTTCTAAGTGAAAAATAAATCCCCCTCACTTTGTCAGTGTCAATGCTGTACATTCCATCACAAAACACTGCCACACGATAATGAAGATCTTCAGAAGATACATCAAATCGTTGTAGCGACAAATAGATTTGGTAGAGATCTGTTGCAGCAACCGCTCCCGATTTCAGCATATATTCAGCACGCAGTAGCTGAACCTGGAACGAAAACGGCTTAAATAACATAACATCATCCCAAAGTCAGTCAGTCGTCGCTCTCAAAATTTTCTGACCATTTTCGCCAATTCGAATACCGTTCACATAGTAAGGCTCACGCGAGAGCGAAAAAGAATCGCCATCAAGAAAAAAAGCTATTTTCTGCGAACGGCCAGCACTTCGCTTATTGCTCAATTCTTCGGTGCCAGATTCCTTGCCGAAATAGCTTAGAGGCGAAGTTTCCGATGAAAAACGAGTCCATCGTAAGGGAGGTGATGGTCAGTAGTGCAAAGACAAAGAAAAAAACTATAAGAATACATCCAGAACCCGAAAAAGTGGACCGCTCCTCTTTGTGTTGATTTCCGCATCGATGCGGCTTCACCGGTGCTGCCTTCCTCAAGCTGACACGCTCTGCTAAGCGGCTAGAGTCAAACGGCCAGGTGGAGTGAATAAGCAACGGCGCTACCCACATCTACTTCCTTCATTTTAAGTTGACCAAACACGAGTCGCCCTTATATTGAGGATTCATTGACTCAAGTCGGGCTTTGATGCTCAATTACCCATTTTCAGTCATACCATCTGCGTCCACCTACGTTGATCGCAACCGTATATTGGCGTCCTATTCATTTTCAACAGCCTGGCAGCGCTCTCGTCTGCTATGTGAACAGTAATCCTTTCAAACCCCTCAGAACCACCCGCAACAAACTACCGCTTTGCCTTGATGGCACACCTAAAGCTAGTTGGCAGCAAAATGTTGCCTTTTGTCGCTCACAATTACCCGCTGTAGCCAAAAGTCGCTCACAACAACTGGCGCTTTCGCTACTACCATCTCATCATCTACTATTTCTCTACATGCCTTCTTACATCGCTCTCTGATACCCGTTGTCGGCATTTCTGCTTAGTGGTTACTGTCTCAACAAAACATCTCCTCGACAGCGAGTTTGAAGAATTTCGAAGGTGGAACTTGGGAGTTTACATGTGTATTGCGTATTTACAGAATCAACGACCCGATATTGATGCATATGACGGTATCGAAGAGTTTGATAATGTATGATCCTAGTTTAAAGAATCTTCGCAAAATCTCCGTTAGAGGGGATCCTATTGCCGCTGTTATTCCCTCGCCCTAAACGCAGAGTTTTCTAGGAAAAGATTCCACGATATGGTCGCAGGTCGAAGAAGCTGAAATACACCTAGTCAAAAGGCACGTGACCCCATAAGGGTGCTTGAGGATGCGCGTTTAGCAGCGAAAGATATGCCCCAGCGGCGTAGCAGGCCGAAACTGCGCTGCTCGCGCCGCTGCCGCCCACCTGTTCGCCGTCTGACTCTAGCCGTTTAGCAGAGAGAGCGTTAGCGTTGAAGAGGGCAGCACCGATGAGAGTCGCATCAATGCGGAAATCAACGGCAGAGAAGGGTCCCATTTCTCGGGTTCTGGGCCGTTTCTCATGGGTTTTTCTTCATTCCTGCACCACTAACTCCCAAAGCTTGATCTATGAGCTGCCTTTTCATAGTAGAATTTGCTTTTGAAGTCAACCCTCTTGGGACAAAATCGAATTTCCTCACGAAAATAAGCAAACAGAAACCAATAAAACACATGCATAATCACTCAAAACCAAGTTTACCTCTGCGAATGCAGCTCTTGCTTCCTTACTGGTCTTCTTCACAAGAACGTCTGGTGAGTCCACCGTGCTTTTCGCGCCACATTCATGCCAATGGACAAAATTCGTGAACAGTTTATTCATGTCGGCAAACTTCGTGTTCAGCAGCTTGGTCAGAAGTCCGATGGCTTGCGATTGGTTACCCTATAATTATACCATATCATTACCATACTTAAAACAATGCTCCAATGACTTGGTGTCACTCACTTTTTGGAACTCAAAGCGAGCCTCTTCCATTCCAACGTCCTTGAGGTTCACTCCCAAAGCTTTGGCTTCCACCAGGAATGTCCAAGCAATTTGGACATGACCTGACTGTCGGGCTAGGCGACAGCTCTGCAAAAATTGGCTGCAAAAAATGCAAACAAGAGGATGCCTAGATCTTGACAAAGTGCAAAAGCTCCATATTCAGCTTTTGAAAATAATGTGGAGAGACTTTCACCTGTACAAGAAGCTGCGTTAAAGCGTTGTCTACATCTCGTCGACTAACAACTCCCACATCAGCAGTAGCCCGTAACAGCTCACGACGCACCAACAAAATTGGCTCCAAAATATTCGAGCACTGCATCACACATCAGAAGAGCCGTAGCCTATAATGTTATACATTTCAGATTAAGGTCTGGAACAATCTAGAGAACTTATAAAGCTTACCTGTTATCAAATCTCTGTTGAGATTAACCGGTTTTTGATGACAAAAGTGGACAAGGGAGTTTTGTTACTCTCGTCGAGTTTTTCTCAAGACATGCAGGCTGAAAGTTAAGATGTCGTTAGTTACAATTTGAAGACGGACTACTCATAATTATTGAAGGTATTTTCGCCATGGATTCGATTGTGTACAGCGGTTAGACAATCATTGGCAAGGTATTTGTACGCTGTGTTGGTGTATGTTTTGAATCTCAATAGTTTTGGCATGGCATAAATTCGCTCAAAACGAGGCGTGGTCGAGCCGCGAATGAAGAGTCTCTCTGTCAATTTAGTGTTGAATTCTCGACGTTCACAGCCACATAGATCGAGGGCAAGCTCTTCCGATGAATCGTGGCGATATCTAGCAGCGGATTCGCAGGTGAGAGGCAGTAGTGTGGAAAAATTTCACGAGATCGCAGATGAGTTTCTCTTGAAGGCAGCGATTACGATAAAGAGGGAGCGCATCGGGGAAGCATATGCACCACACGAATCAGTTACTTGGCTGCCAGGGAAGCGAGATGTGGCGCTTTCACAACGAAAGGTGCGCTGGTTGCTGAGCAGGACTTCGAAAGCACTCCGCCCCCAAAAGCGATCCGCCCACTAGTTTATTGTTGATTTGGACGAGCTGCGGCCAGCAGCGGCGCAAATGGAGCATCTCGATTGAAGCGTGGTTTGGCATGGTGCCATCAAACGCGTTGCGGTGAACTCGTTCATACGTCCATTTTCTGAGCTGTTACCTGTTCATGAGTGAAAACCAACGGCAAAAAAGGGGGTCCCGTTTTGCGTATTCTTGACGGATTTTTGCTTTTTTCGTGTTATGGCGGTACCATTTAGCATCACCGCGTCACACTAAACCCTTCTTGAATTTATCGTAATCGCTGCTTTAAAATAGGTACGGTAATATAACGGTAATATAAGGGATGAGTGGGTGTGACATTCAAGGCAGAGGTAAAGCACACAGCGAAACCGTCTTAAGAGTGAGGAGGGTACCGTGCAGGGCTGTTGCAAAAACGAAGTTGCTACCGGAAACTGTTGAGTATGAACCACGAATAAGGTCCACATCCTCAAAGGAGCATAGCAGGATCGAGAAAAACAAGTCTGCATGGAACGCAATGGGCATAGCGCGCTTGAGGACACGCCAGCGATAGTTCCGTTAGTAGTAAGTGGAGAATGGCCGTGAACTTGAGATTTCATAACAATTCAAAGAAAATCAAATGACATGAAGAACAGAATAAGGCGGAAGAAGTTGGAACAAGTGTAAGCTATGAAATATGCAGATTTTAACGGTACTCAGGTCAAGGAAGCGAAACAAACATACCTGGACCATTTTCTCCAGTCGACCCCAATCTCTCAAATGCCAAGTAGCCTCAAGCTGACTAGAAGCCAAGGAGCTCGCTAATTGAGACGATTTCTCATCGTCATCTTGGAACGAGATGGCTGTGTTCAACGCCAACTGAGGTTGATTCAGACGTAAAAGACATTTGATGAGTTGAAGCTTAAACAAAGCAAGATAAGGAAACAATGACTAAGAGACGAAACGAGCAAAATTGTTATTAGAAAATTAAAACCACTAAAAAAGGAGTGTAGAGTCAATCAATGTGCTTATCAATGATGTGCTCTACTGAACAGAGTAAGCCTTATAAAGTGAAATTTAGAAAAAAAAGAGAGTAGTAGTGATGTCCAGTCCTGCGAGTATTAAAATCGTAAAATCACCTCCTTATTATTCACAGATTGAGTGTAAAGCGGCAGCGCTTCGTTGTAGTCACCGTTCGCTTCTAATGCCAGAATTCTTTCGTCGGCAGTTGGCGATGTACAGGTTGAAATACATTCGAATGACCCCAGGACACCGTCCACGTTTTGTAGTTGCGTATAAATTCGCTAAAGGAATAAAGCATTAGATTGTTCCAATTCTGCCGGATCCATTCAGAGGGAACCGTCGAGTGAGTACCGTTTCCAAGGTATTTGCTATTACTTCTATTCAAGATCGTAGTGGTATTTGAAAGCGATTTGTTCTATTTAATTACTTGTAGCGCCAGTCTGCATTGTTTTGAACGTGCCAGACAACTCTAATCCCGAAGGAACAGAGCGCTTGGAACTAACCTTAGCGAGATTTGGTGCGGATCCCGGACAGAGTGCGCGGGTGGTGGCATTCCACTACACCTCGGCTGCCTAGTATGAACGAGTGAATGGCTTCAGAAGCAGCCATTTATGAGGTTCAGAGAGTAACCCGACGCATAGGGTCGAGAGCCTGATTTTGTCGGAGTGCTTGCCCAATTTGAAGATTGAGCCATGCACCTCGAGTTTATATCAAAGAAAAGCTACAAAAAGCTCATTACAGCAGATGTCATTTACTTGGAAAGCCCCACTGGATGCCGCAAGAATTTTGAAGTAAAAAGCAATACTATGCTAATATTAATTGGTAAATAATGAAAGTGAAGCAACTGTAGCCCAAAAACATCGAAAATAAGAAGTGGTCAACTAAGAGCAATTAAGCAAAAACAATGAGTTGAATAGTTTACCTCAAGCGTGAAGAAATGATTCCGATCAAAAATATTGCAACCAAAGCTGTCTTGCTTAATCTCATGCTGTTCACACCTGGAACAGAGCGTCTCTTAACCATTAGCCATTAGCAGCATAAATGCTACAATACTGAATGAGTGCTATTGTCCTACCATCGCAAAGCCCTATGCATGCACTGACACCTCTCTGCAGCCACCACAACCAGCAATGAACCGTTGCTTGCCTTTTCCGAGAAGACACGAGTAAGAAACGCTTGCGTCCTTTCAAGTTCCTGAATGTAGAAACGACGAGTAAGGGGCTCACTCGAACCAGAGGAGGTCTTAAATCGAACATAATGAACTTACCTTATCATTTGGCCTCTTTTTCGCCAATCTTCGAATAGCGTATTGTTCCAGTGTATCCAGTACTGAGAATACCACATGTGCTGCCAGTCGCATCCAACCAGCGGCATTGGTCACCACGCGGCGCAAGACACTTGTCATCTCGTCGCAGTACTGGAACAGGATCGGCTCAAACAACCGTCTCAAGACACCATTGAGGTAAACTATTCAACTCATTGTTTTTGCTTAATTGCTCTTAGTTGACCACTTCTTATTTTCGATGTTTTTGGGCTACAGTTGCTTCACTTTCATTATTTACCAATTAATATTAGCATAGTATTGCTTTTTACTTCAAAATTCTTGCGGCATCCAGTGGGGCTTTCCAAGTAAATGACATCTGCTGTAATGAGCTTTTTGTAGCTTTTCTTTGATATAAACTCGAGGTGCATGGCTCAATCTTCAAATTGGGCAAGCACTCCGACAAAATCAGGCTCTCGACCCTATGCGTCGGGTTACTCTCTGAACCTCATAAATGGCTGCT